CCTGAATCCCTTATTTTTATTTTTATTAAAGAAGTATCATTTAAAGTTAAACTATTTATATCAGAGTTTTTTAACTCTCTATATACAAATAAGTTTTGATGGCAACACCGATATCTCATCTACTGCTTTTATCTTGAGATTATCACTCAGTTTTTCCCGGTTAATGTCTTGTTCGCTAGGATTATCATATCTGTGATCATTATACATTTCAGTATCAACATCATTATTACTCTTAAAAAACACTAACATGTACTTTTACAGCAGGTCCATCTCTGTACAATATTATTCGACATTTTGTGAAACCTAAACTTATGACTATATTTTACAACTACACTTTAATTTTTTTCGCTTGTCATTATATCCTTTTTTTAAAATTTAAGAAAAACACAATCACTCAAAACTTTTTAACTCATTACTTAATAACTGTAAGACATAATATTATAGTCATAAGTCGACGAATAGCACGCTACTAAAAATATAGTAGGTAGTAGGTACAGAAATGGATATCCAGATATCATACCCGAGACTGCGTATAATCAAAATCTACGATAACTGATACACAAACGTAATGTTTATTAGCCTGTATATAAGTACCTATATAATACGAATCGCGGAAAAAAGTCCCAGGAAAAAAAGTCCGTGTAAAAAAGTCCAGTATATTATATTATATACACAACAAAATTTTAAATAATTTAAAAAAAAATTCAATGATTATAATTATGTACTTAGTATCATAATCTATATAAAAAAATCGAAATTTTTAAACGGGAATTTTTACACAAAATCTGTTTTCGAAAAATTCGATTTTGGTTTTTGGTGCGTAACTCTTAAGCAATTTACCGTAGGTACATGCAATTTTGAGTGTATGTTTATATTAAAATTTTCTATACACCACAACAGCTTACAAATATTTTGACTTATTTTGAGCTGTTTAAGGAGAACTTCAGTTTCTATTTTTTTTAGTTTTTTTTCTATAAATATCAATAAAATTTAATTTGTTGGTTTAAAAAGCTTAAAAATTTTATAGAAGGCTCCTAGTATATTGTTTCTAAGGCAGATAAAAAAATTAAAAATCCATATTCACAATTTTTTTTATAAGCATTTAAAGTTCAAATACTAACAAAATACGCAAAAATTACGAAAATTATTTCAAGTTAGAAATTCATAAAAAATTTTCTTTTTAAATCTAAGATTTTAAAATGTAATACAAGATTCCTCAGAAGTTTGTCTACCTTTATCAAAAAAAAAGTCTATAATTAACTAAAATTAAATTTTTATGAGCATTTGAAATTCATATTTTTACAACATTTGATATTCACTCGATTACTTATGTAAAGATTTTCTTATTTTGTTGTAATTAAAAAACTAATGACTGTAGATACTTGAAAATTTCACTGAATGTTTATAATTTGTGATAGTGTGACACCATATAATAACTACGTAAATCTCAGACTATATTCTTGGGGTTAAAACGTCGTAAATAGTACCTACTATATACTAAATATTAAAATATACTAAAATATAGATTAAGCCCCTTTTCCACTAACTATTTCGTAATAGGAATCAGCGAGCGACGACGACTTCGACGACGTTTATGACGGTATTTATAATATATAGAATATATATATGTTACGGACTAAAGTCGAAATCGGGCAAACCTCAGAAATGCCCGGGCAAAACTCGAACTGCCCATAATCCTTGGGCAAAATTTCACATTTCGGCTTTTGACCGGGCAAACCTAGTTATGACCAACCTCATTTGGGCAAAACCGTATACTGACTTTTATTGTAATGGCAAAACCGTTGTGTCTTATATACGTTCGATAATATTAATACAAATAGTGATTTTTAAGAATTTATTACGATTATAAATGACCCCACGTATATTGTTAATTTATCGTTGTTACCTATCGTATTTTATCAACTCGTTACCTATATTAAACGTACACAAAATGGAAAATACACCTTATCTAAATGGTACAATATTGTACTGTAGTTCGTATTTTTGTGAGCTTATACTAGTAGGTCTTTAGCAATGGCTAACGAAATATGTGCGTCTGATTATAAAACTAAATTTGAAAAGAAACTTAATAAAATCACAAAAAATGAATGTAAGTGCTCTGATAAGTGATACAAAAAACGATGAATTCATAAAAGAGGTAGAACAAGCGAAGGTCAATTCAAAGAAAACAACTAGCGAATACAGGTGACTTAATAGATTTGACGTAGGTACTCACAATCGGCGAGTCTAAAACGTTAATAGTTCCACCAAGTAAAACCAATGGTGACATTATTTATTTTGTAAAATGCAATGAAATGTTCGATATATTGCACATGGCTCATATAAATTGTGAACATTGTGGTCAATATTATTTTTTTATTATAATTATATTATATTTTTACAATATTTTACGATTATTATTTATTTGTATTTAATATTAGTGAAGTTATATAAGATGCTACGGTTTTGCCCAAATGAGGTTTAAATGATAACCACTTAAATATTATTTCCTACCTATTATGGACGGGCCGCAATCGGGATAGGTGAAAATTAAAAAGTTTACTTTGGGCCGCAATCGGGCGACGCCCATAAAACCATGATTAAAAATACGAGGTAACCGCTTTTGATGTTAATATTTAGATATTTTCTCGATTACCGATAACCAATAATAGCTTCCAGCATACCAAAACTAAAAGTGGTTATCGGTTTTCGGTGCTAAGATTTACGATTTTTACCGGTTTTTGTTACAAACCGGTTACCGGTTTTAAGCCCTGGTAGGTAAATATACATTTTCAACTTTTTTAAATGAGACGTCAAAGTACCATAAGAACATAATATGCTACCTACCAGAAACAGAAGAGAATTTAAACATCGGGTCAATATTTTACGAAAGTTATCGTATTTTTATACGTATGAAAATAAATACACATGTTAAATCTATTACATTCTTCGCTCCACTCAGAATCTAATACTAATTGTTAATATAAAAATATAATTTAGGTACATAAATAAAAATTGGTTTCAGAAAGTAAATTTCAACTGGCTTAACAATTAACATAATCAGTTAATATCAGACTTATATGACTTTTTATCTATGAAAAAGTTCTAAGTGAAATTATTATTTTTAGAGCCGGAAAAAAATTGTTTGGGTACCCTTTTATTGATAACAACCACCTCCCCTCAATAGGACGCCACACCACTGTATTTTGAGCACATAACACATTTTGCGCGGACTAAACGTAAATTACGAAAGCAGTATTCTTTGGACAGCAACCAACATTCCATAGCAAATAGGAGAACAGCAGCTTAAAATTAGTGAAATAGCGTCGGATTTTTTCCATGTCATTCGTATAAATCGGCTCATTAGTTAGTGAATATTAGTCTTTTCTATTTTATAATGTATGAGTTAAAAATTATCCAATATATTTATATATTTACAAATTACGATGTTATTACACAATGCACAGATCAAGGAACTTTGTGTGTACACGATCAGAAGGTATTTAAAATCATTAAACTAGGTATTTTACTATAAAGCGTATTAAATATTTTAACAACTATTACAAATTCCTCTTCAAAGAGCCTGGATGACATACAGTAGAAAAACTATTGAGAATCTTTGACTTCAAAATATGTTGTCGTTAGGTACTCCCTACCCGTTAGCACACAAATCCTCAATATAGGTACCTACTTTAAATTGTAGGTATGTAAAGTTTTCATAGTATAGCGGCCATATTATGTAATGACACTTACAATAATTGGAATATTCAAAATCGCCTTGATCATTCCCTAGTAAACTTGTTGATCAATCATAATCCGTTTTCAAAATTAAAATCTGTCAAACCAAATTCTTCCAGTTTTGTCTAGCATATTGGTCTAAAAGTCACGTTTTTTCATTGACCTGAGCCCCCTCCAGCCCCTTAAGGTTTATTTTATGATACGGAATTTAAAAATATTGAAAAACATTCTAACAAACAAGATGAATGTTTAGATTGGTCAAATCTACATAAGTTTCGACTTTTGACAAAACTTGCTGCAGCCCACTTAAGATAAAGAGTTATCAAAATTTAAATTGTCTACAAATAATTTAAAATCATTAAGTGTTTTAAAATTATATTTTTGTTTAAATATATTATAAATGTTCATTATACTAGGTATATTATGTCTGTCATATAATATTGTTATATATTATTGTAGCTTTTAAGTCAATACTGATAAACCGTAGAACCGTAAATAGGTAAGTGAAATAACCGGTCAGTATCTAAAACGGTATATTCTGTATTATTAGAGCCTCATATCTCAATATAATATTATACTGTACTATCAGAACTTGTACTTATAATGTTTAATATCCCTATAACGGTTAACGGTATTATTTTTTGGTTCAAATTACTAACGCTTTTCAAAAATGTTAGAGCAAATTACACTTGTTGTATATATTTTGGGTCAATTTTGGTGCAAATTGACTACAGTCTTATAAACTACATTTTGTTCGATAATTCTTAATAGTTTGGTTACTCATTTAACACATATTACCTGTTAGATATATCATATATATCAAGAATTTGTCAATAGTTCTGTTACCAATCAGAAAGTGACTAAAAATGTAAGTATTAACTTCAATTAAAGCAACCAACAATTTAAAAGATAGTACAATTTAATATTGTTCTTATAAATTATGCAGGAAATGATAGCTACTATTCATAATTATTAATATATTCAGTTTCTTAAAAAAAAAAAAAAATAACACTATTTTGAATATTATTATACATATTATACTAAACTGGAAACATTACATTAATCATCTTTTACAGTTGAGATGTAAATAATTCAAATATAATTTTAGTTTGCTTCAAAATATAAAAAACTACTTAAAAAGTATTACATTAAAATGTATAAATCAATAGATAGTATATAATAAAAATAATAAAATATTGTCCAGAAAATAGGAATTGAATGTTTCTTGAGCACATAACAGTTAATGTTGATTTAAAAAGTAATTATTGGGTAGTAAAATCAAAATCTAAAAGTTGTAGACACTTATTCACTTCGCTTTTGTAGTTGTTAATTAACTTCAATCTAAAATAAAACAAAATACCATTTATTTATTTTAAATGCTTGTAATTAATTTTAGGGTCAGTTCAATTACAATAGTATTATAATTAAGTATTCTAAACAAAGACATTACAATTACCACTGTATATAGAAAAAGGTATAAGAAATACAGTGGTAATTTTTATATTTTACCCAATTAAATTATATTATAATTATTTTTTTTATAAAAAATAAAAATTGTGAAAAAAAAGGTGGAGGTATGAGTTAGCAATTTACATAGGTACAGCATACTATAAGTTTATTCAGGATAATTTTTAGGAAATTTAGTTTAGTGTCTGCCTCCTGTCTGCTAACGAGTCATTTAACTATAATTATACTATTTATAGAAAGTACTAATAATAAAAAATCATAATAACTTAATAAATAATAATATATTATGATACAATAAGATCTGTGTTTCGCACCGCACAGTCTTCTTTCTCAGATTTCTCCAAAGATAATATTTACCCCTATGACCTTCCTTCTAACTGTTATTTCACTCCTGATGATATTCTAACTGCCCTCTTCTCCTTAAAAAATAATTTTCTAATTTTCCCGACAGTATTTCTGGGCGGCTGCTCTTCAACTGCCTAGATTCAATTGTATTTCCTTTATTTATGCTCTTTAGATAAAGGCATCTTTCCTACTGCATAGAAAACTTGTTCAGTTTCACCTTTTTTAAAATCTGGTGACCCCTCTCTTGTCAATTATATCCATACTTTCACACATTTCCAAACTGTTTTAAACAATTGTATATTCTTGTGTTACAAGGATCTGAACCATATAATAATCGATGATAAACATGGTTTTCGACCAGGGAAATCTACAGTCACCAAAAGCCTAGTTTTTACATCGTATATTTTAGAAAGCTTTGAATCTGGTTGCCAAGTTGATGAAGTGTTCATTGACTTTGAAAAAACCTTTGACACGGTTGATCACTGTCGTCTTATTACAGTACTAGCTCGACTCGGTATTGGTAACTCCTTGCTTTCTTGGCTCCAGTGGTATCTTAATTCCAGAAAGCAGTATGTTTAAGTTCATGGTGCATTTTCCAATTTGTCAACTATTTCTTCAGGAGTTCCTCAAGGGGGACATCTAAGTCCTCTTCTATTCATAATGTTATATAAATGTCAAGGGCCTGTCCCGTTTACTATTATAATAAATAAATAAATAAATAAATAATTATCTTTCCACATCTTAAGTCCTATTATTTGCTGATGATATCAAAATTGATCTTAAAATTTCTTCTCTTTCAGACTGCTTCCAATTACAATCTGATCTTGACACCTTTTGCAAGTGGACCCAATGTCTTGGGCTTACATTAAATCTCAATAAATGTCACTTTATGAGCTTTAGTAGAAAGTGTGTTCCTCATATCCACCTTTAGTCTCTAAATGGCTTTCCACTTAAACGCGTTTTTGAGGTTAAAGATCTAGGTTTCTACCTTACTCCTACTCTTTCTTTTGACAATCATATAAATACAAACTACAATTTATAAAAATATACAATTTATATAAATACAACTAAATGCAAACTACAACCACAACCATCCTAAACATAGAATGCTCCACCTCCTTAACACCACCTAAAACTACATTTCATATTTATACTAAATAATATTTCTTATCTTAGTTTTATTGGCACACTCAGAATTAGGATGCTGTTAACTTCTTAGTTTTTAATTTATCTTTTATGATTAGGTATTATTAAGTTATTAGTATATTAAATTTAATAATATTATCTATAGTATCAATAATTTTTACATTAATATTATCATTACCTGTGTATATATATGACCAACTATGTAAATGCCGACAGGCGTTAATTAATAAATAAATAAATACATGGCCGATTTATAGTACATATGAGTGGTATGTAGAGAAAAGTTTTAAGAATCTCTGATTTAAATAATTGTAATGTTAAAAAAATGTTTTTAAAAAATCATCTAGATTCTATAACATTAAACTCACTTTTTTATATAATAATCCTGTTCCTGATTGCTAAGGTTTCCTTTCATTTTCTTAAGTGATACCATACATAATCCCAACAATGATTTAAAACATTGTCTGCGTGCAGTGTTGTGTGTAGGATTATCCCATATTGGAGTGGAGTTAACATGTTTCCATGCCATAAAAACATAATCCATAACAATCAGCCAATGATTGTTATCAGCTAAGTGCTTTCCATGATCAATTACTAAACGCTAGGGAAAAAGATTATAATAATAACATTGCAATGTCTAAATGTTATACCAGTAGTAATTTACTAATTTACTTTAAAAGCCAATAAATGTTTGGAAGCCCTGTCGAAGGAATTTGGAGAAGTTTTTGAACTGTGTTTTGATATTGACTTGTAAATATTACTTACTAAATAAGTCAGATGCTTGTCAATATATTTTAAACTGTGTGGTAAAATATAATCATCCTATTAAATTGAACAATATATTGTTTGTTAATAAAAAAAAAAAAAATGTTATTGTAAATACTCTACTTTTTCTAATTCGTCTACACTAAGAGGCGGGTCACTGACTACATCATGTAAAGTTATTACATTTGATGCTGGTTGTACTTGAGAAAGTTCATTTATTGGACTGCTGCACAACTTCTTAAGATTAGAAGGGCTCTAAACAAAGAAAATATTACAACTAATTCACATTAAATAATAATAGAATGCAGTATTACGGTAGTGTCTTTCTCCGGATCTTCAAATAGTAATCTTTTACGAGTTGTACTTGGCAAAATGACTGAACTTTTATTTGAATCACAACCCTCCAATTCTGTCAGTAAATCCTGTTTGCATTAGAAAATACATTAATACACATTTTTATAAAACCAATCAATTATAGTTTTTTTTTATGAATGAAGCATAATATAAATTAATTGATCAAATAAAAATAATATCTTTAACTAAAATTGACACTTCAGTCACTCACTAAATTAAAGTATTAAACAATTTAATAGTTATACATTTTAATGCTGAAATATGTGGAACTAGCTTAAAATTGTAAGAGTAAATACCATATTAACATATTCTAAAGATTAAATCTAGTATAAACAAAATAATGATTTAAATATTATATTATGTTAACAATAAGAAGAATATTATATAATAAATACCTGTATTTGCTCAACAATATCAGAACTACACGTGCATTCTGTATCAATCTCAAGTTCTTCTGTAGACAATTCTTCTGGACTATTATTTGGTGTCGGAAAGTTACTAATAACTGAGCTTACAGTATTGGTAAAGTGATCAATTCTGGTATCTAAAATGTATTTTGAAAAATTAAATATTGGCATTACATTTCTTTTCATAATACCATACCTTGTTGAGCCAATGTTAATTTCCCAAGTAGTTGTACACATGTATTCCTCGAAAAGGTTTTATCTGGACTGGGAAATTCCATTTTCTACTAGATCCCACTCAATACTTTTCCTATAAAAAAATATAATGCTTTTTATGATTCTTTTTATTTTGTATAGTTGTAAACATAAAACAGTGAACAATAACACCTGTAATACAATTGATAAAAATTAAATTTAATATCACTTAAGATATGAATGAAATATTATTCGAAATTCCAATGTAAGTACTATAATATCAAATATAATAATAACTAATATTAACCACAATTATTGACAAAGCCATAAATTGTTAAAGAAATATATTTAAATATTAAATGTATAAATTAATACATATTTTAGTTATAATTTCTAAGTAGGTACCTACTAATTTATACATACAAAACTTGTATAATGGACAACTGGGTAAGTGGGGAGGTATTTATTCAAAATGTATTTTTATATTTTTACTAATTAGGTACCTATATAAGTGTGTTGAATCAGTATTTATTAAATTCTATTGAACCATACATATTATATTATTGTAGAAGATTTCGATTTAGTGTGAAAATTGTAAATTTAAATATAAAACGCATTGTTTAACATTATTAAGTTCTGGTAAGTAGAGAATAGCTAGTATGATATTTTTAATTTGTTATTGAAGTGTATTTTAATATTAAATACACTTTTAGAGTTATAAAACAAAATACCAATTTGTAATGTACAAATAAAACACAACTTAATTTTAAATGGACATTTTATAGTATTTTCATATTATTATGGATTAGGTACCTAATCCATAACATTACAATGGACAGAATTTTGTAATAATATATAATACCTATAATATCTAATGGTATATAATTGGTGCTATAAATAAAAATTCTGCATTCTGATGTACCTATATATTATAACTTATACCTAGTCATACCGTAATAAGTCGATGTTAATAATTCAATGATGGTGAGCAACTGCTCAAAAAGTACCGGGTAACATAATAATATACAGGTATTATTATATTACTATTCCCGAAGAATGGCATCGACGATCTTCATAATTAATAATCAATAACGATAAACTATAAACATAACAAATGGATACGCTAAATACACGACAGTAACAGGAAACTGCAACTGGTGTCGCTGTATCATATGATGACAAAGTACGCCATTACGCGGCAAAATATAATAACAATGCTGTTCTGTTTAGCGCGCGCTCACTACGGTGTAACAAGGGCGGCGGCGAGAAATAATTGCTGCGCGCCTGCAACCACCACCCGAGTCCCAACCATTGGACCAGCTGGTCACAGTGTCGCCCGACAACCGGTTTGTGTGATCCCGCTCAAAATTGTGACCAAACGACACCCCTTCACACTACAACCCCTGCACAGCCGACGGATATAATGCAGCACCGCACGTACTGTTACAACACTCGATAATTGATGTAGGTACGCGATAAACATTATTTGTTCGGAGGGAGCAAAAATAAATAATGCCAAAATCAACCCTCCCGCGACCCCGAATAATAACGAAACGTATGTCATACCAGCCAATATAGCTATTACATATGTCATGGTCGAGATTGTCACTTGTTCTGATACACTGAGTTACGATGGTCGTGTACAGATAATAATATTACGTATTTATGCATAATAATTAATAATGATTGATCGTATTCAATGAAATTATGTTTTATTCTGCGTCTACACGCTTACCAGCTATACATAAATACATAATAATGCCTTCCGAGCACTTACTTGAAGAAGAATAAAAACTAGGTAGCTGTTTAATATATGCACAATTAATAGGGTGGAGCTTGGTAGTTGGGGGAATGTAAGTTGGTGGAAACTAATACCCCTCCCTCATTAACATAATTTGAACATGTGCAAATATTCATATTCCCTATTATACTACAATAGAAATCGTTTACGGTTGATATCGGTGGCGCGTTCTTACTATTAGGTAGGTAGGTAGTAGGTACCATGTTTATATGCAAACGTAAACAATGCACAAAGATAATTCTAATTAGTTAATCGCAATAATAGAATTTTCAAGTCCCATTAGTCTACTGTGCATTAACGATTGCATATAATATTCATGTTGTAAATTATGATTATACTATAAATTATAAGATCATTTTCAGTAAAATTCATAACCTACTTACCTGTATTCTGCTGTGTGCGGCGGGCGGCGGCATTGTAAGCAGTCGGAACAGCGGCTGCGACCTGAGTGGTGGGTGAAGGGTGATATCTCAACGAATATTTTTGTGCGACTGGTCGGCAGTGCTTGATCAGTGCATGCGGTGGGTAAGAATTTTAGTGGGAAATATATGTTATAACTTATGAACATTTCCGCATTAAGACATTTTGGGCTCCAGTAGAAAAAGAAATTGGCACCCTCTTAATGAGTCTACCCACGGGAATATAAGCGTGGGTACAGGATGTGGCAAGTGTGTCTTGTATCAGTATCACCCAGTAGCCTATTCATTCTAGGACTTTAATAGGACAAAATAAATAGTACGATTTATAACTCAGGCTGATGAGGTATGAACAAATCTCGATAACCAGTTAAATACAATAACCACTAATAATAAAATAATCCATCACTGCCGTTCAATGTTCAAGGTCGATCGTGTGCTCAGTGCTCGACTTGGCTAAATTGAAGTGAGGGGACTCTGTTTAATTTTTAAAAAAGAGCGTCCCAATCACTTGTTAAGACTCGTGGCTATGCCACCCACATCCCCTAATAAGCCTTTTTAAATCATATAAAAAATGTTTATAAATAATCAATCAAAAAAAAACAAGACATTTGTAATTACTGTATGTACCTATTGGCTATTATATATATTATAGTTATTAATAGTAACAAACTCAAACAGATAATAAAATAAAATAAATTAAAAGTTTAGTAATAATTAGTTAATACCTATTGTTAATTAACTAATTTATAGAACCACGGTAATGAAATAATCCATAAAACAAATTATGATGGTACCTCAGGCATATTGATAAAAACGCAGAATGAAAAAGCGTCCCCTGTGTTCCCCTTAAAAATAATAGTATAGGTAAGCCAAAATGTCTGAAAAGTTAGTTGGGGAACTCCGTCTCCCTGCGTACCCCCCCCCCCCAAATCGAGTACAAGTGATAATATTAAATTCTTTTCCAAGACGCTTATTTCTACTTTTACTTATAAAAACTTTTTTTCTTTTTCCGTTTTAATCGAGAGCCGGAGAAGGAACTGTTGCTCACATTGCTTCTCCTCCGGCCCCCATCATTTATTGCACATCAAAACAAAATTTAAATGTACAACAGCTGGGCCCTTAAACGCGCTCCCACGACCTGTATACGGCTGCCAGGGAGTGTTACTCGGGAAGCTAACACTTCAAAGATGGTTGCTTAAGGCATTGTCTTGAGCTGGTGTTGACTGTCTTCGCGGCCCGACACAGCAGAACATACACTGTTCGCATGCGAATACTGGACCGGGCATCGCGTGGAACTAGAATCTCGGCTCGGCCACCAGCCGACCGCCTCTGATCTCCCCGAAATACTGTGCGGACAGGACTTCGACGTCCTCCCCGGGGACCCTGAGGAAAGAGTCACCCTCCTGGCCGAGACCGACGAAAGGCTCCGCCTGTTTTACAAGATGGTCGAGTCCATAATGAGCCTCCAGGAGGAAGAAGAGAGAGCTCGATAGGCGCTGGAACGAGGACAACCAAGGAGGCGACGACCTGAACGAGACTCCAGGCCGACGGGCCGCAGCGCCGGGCCGTTAAGCACTGGAGTGAAACATGAGACATGAGACCGGCCGCGGGCTTCCAGCCGGGAAGACGGGCCAGTACTTATAAAAAACTAAAACGTATAACTTTCTATTATTAAAAATTTGATTTTAAGTTGTAGTGATGTAAAGATTTTATTTATATTCGATAATGCAGATATTATAATTTACTATTAAAAGATATTTATAAAAATATAATAACAATACCTACTTATTTTTTTAATAATGATCTATTTGTTGAAACATATTAACATGTTTTTGTGAAACACAAATAGGTACAAGGGTAGGTACTAATAGGGATTAAAATAATGCTATAAACTTTTCAGAAAAATTCAGGAATATTTAGGAAAAACGTTTTTTTTCTCGGAGCTTCAGAAAATATGGAAAAATTGGAGAATATTAAAATAAAACATTTCCAAAAAAAGTTTTCGGAAAATAAAAAAAAAAATAGAATTTTTGAAAAATTAAAAAATTACATTCACGCTTAAAAATTAAAATAATTATATATATAACTGTTGAATTGAAACCCTTTGTGGACTGTTGTTTGATATAGGTAATCTTTGTCAACCTAGTTGTAACATATGTATGTGCTATATATATAGCATGTACACGGAACACCGGTTATAATGGTGAAAGGAACGATAGCCCTCGCTTAGTCTACGATTTCTGTATGAACACGTATTATTTGTATATTATCTTTTGTAAAAGGGCAGGTGGTTTATGGTTTTAAACCCTCCAACCCCACCACAACCATCCTTGTGCGTTGAGTTTACCTCTGTACACAGATGTTTAGTTATAATATTATGATTTTTTTTTAATTATGCAATGTGGCTGGATGTGGTGACTGAAAAATGTGGTTCAATGAATGAGGGGTTGTCACAACCCTTTAAATCTCCTCTCACCGGTCCTGTGCTTAGATGTGGTGCCGCCATAATTTATTGAAAAATACAGTACATGCAACCATAAATAAAACGTTTAACAATTCGAGCGTTGCTCGGTGCAAAAAAAGAGAGGGCTTTATCCCTCTAATTTCCACCTTGGCTCTATAATAATTTTTATCTTAACTAAGTGTCAAGTTTGTAGGTAATTTGAGGGATGCTTGGTTCTGCATCTCACTCTCTTCCTTTCGTTACGTGATGTTTTCGACCATCCGGGTTAGATTAGTTAGGAACGTCGTTCCGCATCCACCACTCACCAGGATGTTTCATCTCTGGCCACGGCCTTCGATCAGGTCTTCCATGAAGGGCGTGCAGAGGAGGTCCTCGATATAACCACTTATGGTGGCAATGCAT